CCACCGGGACTGATGCAGCTACCCAGGCAAACAAATTTGTCTACTACCTCAATCGGTTTATCTGCATGCGTTAGGCTAGGGTTCGAACCCACCCAGTCTTGCAGTATCACTTTACACTTTGCGCGTGCAAGGCGCATGTCGAACCGCGAAGCAGAATTATCTAGATTATTCAATATTGTTTGCATTACCACGGGGTCAGATCCCAGAAGAGGTATGTCGTCTGCGTACTCGATGTCTGTGAGCGGAGGCCCAGTGAGTACTTCGACCTCACAGGCATTAGAGACTGGTGGTGAGTCTTCCATGATCGTATCAATGACGAAGTTGAAAAGGAAAGGTGAGAGAGAACTGCCCTGTCGGACACCAATTGATGTGGTGAACTCAGGAGGGAGCTTCCTGTAGACCTTCGCACGGCCGCGAGAGTTGGCGTACAGCGCCTTAATGAGGTTCAAGAATTTATGGGGGACACCTTTGCTCCACAGACATTGCAATAGATCCTGACGTTGTCCCTATTAGCCTAATGATGACGATCATGAATAGTCCGGTGTTCCATTGAGAAGGTATTGAATTGAAGACCATACAATCCGATTCGATATGGCTTGTCTTTGTGTGTCAACTAGCCATCCTGAACCAGTCACACTCATTGTATACGTCCTCATGCTTTTCTGTACAAAACTGACCGACAATACTCTGCGCTTCTGTCCCGGTATGTCCTGTGATTTGCTCTGGGGATCCGAGGGCACGTTCCATCTGGCATTTCGAAAACAAACTAACTCAGACGTGATCGAAAGAGGAGATTTGCTTATAACATCCATCACACCATGTCTGGTCAATGTGTCTCCACACCACCGAACCAGCGGTCACTAGCTGGCAATAAATGATCGAAAGGGTTACGTACTCTGTGCTTCAACTGACACCCAGCAATTGGGCGTGAACTGAGACTGCGACCTGCACAAGGAAACACGGAAATAACTTCCCCTCCCCTGGTTCACAGATGATTGACAGTTTTGCAAATACCTGGAGACCACAATGAACGAAAGTCTTGAGAATATCGATTGCTGTTTTTGGCTGACTTACAATGAGACGATCACCAAGTGTGACCGAAGTGAGAAATTTGAAATTAGATGAAGAGTAAACAAACAAATGGTCGTTCAGCTTCAACATTCTTTCGATGCGTTGCCTCCATGTCGCCCGGTTGCCCAAACGACCAGTCGAAATGCTGGGGTTCGAACCACCGACCTCCTGGTCACCACTCAGCCCTCTCGTTCTCATCACCATTACAATGTGAGTAGTATCTCACACATGGGAGGGAATAAGAGTAAAACACACCAACTTAGTGGCCTTTTAGAATTTTGCAGCGCTCAGTGATTAAACGTAAGGAACGGAGAAAGCCGACGGAGATCCTCCTATCGCGACAGTTTCTCAAGGCATAATTCCTACCCTGTTTCTATTCGTGGGACTTGGTGTTGGGAATCTTCGTATTAAATATGTGAAATTCTCGAATGCTCACGCCAGAACTTTTGAAAATCATTTTTTATCTCCCATAACTCTTGCGACGGGTCTCCAGAACAGTGAGCTTATCTATACATCATTCCTTCCGATATAATACAACGGTAGTCTGAAAAAAATTGTGGTTTGATCCAATCAAACTCTCTCAATTATTTCACGAATTGAAGAGCACTGTCCCGTAAGTCAGAACCCATTTAAGTAGTGATTTCTTTCAAATCATTTCGAGGAAACGGATAGCACTTAACACCAGAACTGCCAAAAAGGGATTTATTCACGATATTCGGATTTACGGGTTCTGGAAATACGTAATTCCACCCGTTTTGTTTATAACTTGAAATTTTTCGGTCACGCGGGTGTTTTTTGCTCGGCGAATTCGATTGTTCCTGTTTAGTCAGTGAATAGTTTTTTTGTGGATCAGATCTGATCTAGTCGATGAGACAACTTTGTTGATTTTACTGAAGAAAACTGAAACTACCAAACTCCACATGTCACAAGTACTGAGGAATTTTTTTGCGGTCGTGGGATGAAGCTCGAACAACGACTGTCAGGTCACAAATACCCCGGGATTAGCGACGATAGACCGACGCATCCGAATTCAAGAGGGACAAAGCGCCACCCGATTTCGATCGATTGTTTTCCTTCACTGGCTCGTTCATGAATTCCCAATGTTCTCTTGGTCTACGTGGGCGAGAGCCCTGTAATTCAGACTTTTCGGTGTATAGCTGACATACCACTCGAATAATTCACCGGAGCTCAGATACTGCCAGATTACCAAGCCTAGACGGGAGCTGTTGGACACGCAGAGGTTGGGTTCGAACCACCAACTTTCTGGTGAGTAAGCTCGTGTCCTAATCACTGAGCTACCCCGACCTCTAGAATTGATTAGGGCCGGCAGAGGTTAGATTTAGTACTGGTGCCTCCTGACTAATTACTTGACTATTTCAATACGTCATTCCACGTCAAAAGCGCATCTTGCTTTGGTTTTCATCTCTCTGAATGTTGTATTTCAATCTGCCTCCGTCCGATTGGCTGACTACAGTGCCATCCCAAAGGGTGCCTCAGAAATAAAGTCCGTT